CTCTCTCTCTCTCTCTCTCTCTCTCTCTCTCTCTCTCTCTCTCTCTCTCTCTCTCTCTCTCTGTGTCTCTCTCCATCTCTCGCTCTCTCTCTCTGTCTTTCTTTCTCTCGCCATCTCCACCTACCTGAAAAGTCCTGCCATGCTGGGTTTGCGTAGACCGTCAGAATGCCCACATATGTACGCGATGTGTAGTCGAGATTTGCGCGGTGGCTATTACATTGGGTTCAGTCACCGCGAACGAGCAGTGTCGTGTGATCCAACAGGGATTTCTCTCCGTGAGTCCGATGTGTGATAGGGAGTCTATGACGTTCGGGGCCATTTGATGGTGACGTTTGATTGGGCCGTGTGATGAAGGCGGAGATCGCCTCTCTGTCGCTCTCTCTCTCTCTCGCTATCTCTTTATCTCTCTTTCTCTCTTTTATCTAGTTCGTTTCACTGCGCTTGTCTGTGTCGTTCGCATAAAGTTTGCGAATGTAACTGACAAGCGCAGACAAACGAACGAGACAGAACCAACAGCGTCGTGTTCCACCATCATCCTCGTCAGTTTTCTATCAGTGCCTCTATGTCGTTCGTCTTTTCCGTCGGCCTGCTTTCGCGAATCTAGTTCCATTGCGACCACTCGCCGCGATCAGATGGCACACTCACACGTCCACGTGGCAGGTCCTGAACAAACGTGGGCTCGCTGATCGATGCGGGGCTCTATGAGGCAACATAATGTTGTCGAATAGAGCCCCGCACCCATCAGCGTTGCCACGCATGCTCACGACTTGACACGTGGACGTGTGTGCCGTCGTGTTCAACTACCATCTTCGTCCCCGTCGTTAGTTTGTCTTCAGCGCCTCTATTTCGTTCGTCTTATGCTTTAGCCTGTTTCTTTCGCGAACTTACCTCGGGGTGCGTTCGCGGATCTCGTTCCATTGGCGACCACTCGCCCCGATCAGATGGCACAATCAAACGTCAACGTGTCAGTTCCTGAACAAGCGTGTGCACGTTAATGGATGTGAGGCTCTATGCGGCAGCAGAATGAATGCCAGGCTCCAATATAGCCCCGCACCCATCAGCGTGGCCACGCATGTTCAGGACATGACATGCGGACGTGTGAGTGTGCCATCTGATCGGGGCGAGATGAAGGAGTTTCTGGAGCAAGAATGCATGCGTTTCATTGGCGATCACTCGCACTGATCAGATGGCACACTTAGACGTCCACGTGTCACGTCCTGAACAAGCGTGGCCACGCTGATGGATGCGGGGCTCTATGCGACAAAGGGGCTCTATGCGGCAGCAGAGTGGATGCGAGGCTCCAATATAGCCCCGCGTCCATCAGCGTGGCCACGCATGTTCAGGACATGACATGCAACGTGTGAGTGTGCCATCTGATCGGGGAGAGATGGAGTTTCGGGCGAGATGAGTGTCCTCCACATTTTTTAAAATTTTTCGTCAGTCTTCCTCTCGCCGACACGAACAATTTTTTCTTAAATTTCTTTCGTGCCGTTTTATTAACGGGTCACATTGCGAATTCCGAAATGGACAACACCATCTGCAGGATTTGCATATGGAGAGACAGAGAGCTAAAGACAGGCTCTCTCGCTGCGCATCCTCTCCTAATCGACGTCTCTATCGATCTTAGTCTCCCTTCCGTGTCTATGCGGGTTTTCTGCCTTTCTCCAATCCTTGTGTATCGCAGACAGTCGCTCAACCGATCTCAGGTTGGTCCCCCCCTGAGTGCAATCACAAATCAGTAATTCGAAGACGGCTATGACAAATTCGAAGACACAGGAGGCGAACGTGAATTCAAATTTTTAAACCCTATCAAACCTCGCGTCAGCCGAACGCCGCGAGGAACTCTTCCGCTGACTTGAACACAGGACAAGACACGGAGTGATCAGATGCTCATAGGGTATTGTCGACGGCGACATGTTTGACCAACCAGGAGGACGACAGCCCACCCTGTCCATACCATCTTGTGGTGGCGCAACAACTTGGCCACCCTTGTTAATTTCAGTTGCATCCAAGTCACAACCCACTAAAACTCACGGGGCGACCACTAACCGAGGCAACCTGGCGAAGTTCGGATTAATCCGAACCACATAGACGGCATATTCGGATTTGTCACATGCACAGACAGTATTTACGACGCCGAACATTCCGATAAATGTGAACGACGAAGTCACACGCTGTCAAAAGACCGTTCCGTCTCGGATAAATCCGAACACACCTCCGACAGGATAGGGTCCACCCTCTGCTCACAGCTCATTGAGGAAAACACGCCGTGCCGATGTCCTCCTCTAGTGGTCGGCCTAATTCGGATGCATCCGAGTCACAACGTCGGTCTTTCGACTCTGCCCAGTTCGGATGTGTCCGAACTACCACGCTGTCTTCCTCTTCGACCATTCGCTCTAAGAAGGACAGTCTGATGATGAGGGTCAACGATGCCTCGGATTCATGCAACTAAAACGAGTCGAGATGGTTACGCTCGGTGGAAAGACGAGCTAGAAACTTGTGTTGCGACTACAGCAAACGTGTCTGTTGTTTGGATAGGGCGAGCAACAACCAACTAAAACTCACGACGACGACGATATCCCCCGTGATGACGCACAGATTATAATGACACACTACGACAATCGCGGGGAGGTCCGGTGTGTGGTGGGGCGACAACAAAGCGAAGCGCCTCGGCAAAGTCGGATTAATCCGAACCACATGCGCAGAGGGTATTGACGACGTCGCACGGTCTGATAAACTTGTACATCGAAAGCACACGGTGTCGGCGCAGCCTGTCGTGGTCGCACATATCGGGACAGCCTCTGTCGAAATCGGATGAATATGAGCCACACCCGGCTTAAACAGTCAAGGACGAAGACACACCGTGCGAAATTCGGTTGGACCCGTCGACAACTGGGGAATAACGGAAGCTTGGATGGCTGGATGGGCGTCAACAGACTGTGGGGTCCATCCGCCGGTCCCCGTCTCGGATTGATCCGAGCCACATTTGCGAGGTTCAGGTTCAACCAAACCGAACCTCCGGCAGGATAGGGTTAACCCAGTGCTCGCAGGTCGGTGATGAAAACACGTGCTGTAGATGACCTCTTGTGGATGACCGTCTCTGGACCGCGCTGTTGGAATTCGGATGCATCCGAGTCACAACCGTTACCGACTCCGAAGGACAAGAAAACTCGAGTTCGGTTTCGGACGGGCCGACAGGGGGAGGTCCACACCGCTTTGGAGCTCGGATTCATCCGAACTACAATTGCGGACTTTACAATCCACTTGTCAACTTTCGATGACAACGTATTCGTCTTCGTCTGCCGTATCAGCGTTCTAGGGCCTTCTTGCGAGGTGTTGCTTTTCCCGGTGCAGGTGCGTATGCGACATCGGTTTTTCGACTGCGCCTGCTTCGGATGAATCCGATCTATCCCACGGTCTTGGTTTTCGACCATTCATTCTCTTAAGGGTAGTGTGACGAGGATGGCTCACGATGCCTCGGATTCATTCGAAACCGCGCTGTTCGAATTTGGATGCATCTGAGTCACAACAGTTACCGACTCGGAAGGACAAGAAAACTCTCAAGTTCGGTTTCGTACGGGCCGACAGGGGGAGGTCCACACCGCTTTGGAGCTCGGATTCATCCGTACTACAACGACGGACTTTACAATCCACTTGTCGACTTCAGATGACAACGTATTCGTCTTCGTCTTCCGTATCAGCGTTGTAGGGCCTTCTTGCGAGGTGTTGCTTTTCCCGGTGCAGGTGCCTATGCGACATCGGTTTTTCGACTGCGCCTTCTTCGGATGAATCCGATCTATCCCACGGTCTTCGTTTTCGACCATTCATTCTCTTAAGGGCAGTGTGACGAGGATGGCTCACGATGCCTCGGATTCATCCGAAACATCCAGGCTTGTGGACCACTGTCGTCTAACTATGACTGAACTTCGTTTTTTTGGATTCCGGGTGACCAATGACAGAATACGTGTTGTGGGTCGTGGTTGATGTTGGGACGTGCTGACTGTTCTGAGTGCATGTGGGTTCATTTCCACCGTGTGTTTCAGGGAATGGCTACACATGGACGAAGCCGCTCCGCTGGTGGTTCCGCCCCGCACAGAGAGGAGCGTCAAGGGACGACGTCGTCGTCGGCAAGGGAAACGAGTCGGGGAGTTGGAGGTGGGGAGGAAGAACGAGATGCTCAAAACTTATGGTGCGACTACAGCAAACGTGTCTGGTATTTGGACTGGGCGAGCCAGGACGGCTCCCACCCGTTGCAACCACTGTGCGGGCCACTTTTGTTCGTCGCCGTTCGCGCCGACAGAATGCGACTCGCAGGGTCCATCGTCCAGTGGGTCGACGATGGCGAATTCAATTTCAAGTTTACGTTGAAGAAACATTACACAAGTGATGGTTCTATCGATGGCATCGCAAAGGGATGCAAGGTTGCCGGAAGGATGTTCGGCGGGTATGGCCGTCGTGTGATGTCTTTGCCTCACTTTCTCCTGCTAGCGCCGGGGCACGACGAGGCCGTTCACATCACAGACTTCCTCGAGGTGTGGGCGAAATCTGGTACCTCTGTCAGTGCCGTGGACGTCGGACCTGGAAATCGATCAGTGGTCCTATTGGGTTCGCGGAAGGAGAGTGCTCTGAAAGGGAGATGGGAGGTCAGGGCGGCCTGCCAGCTACGCCTCCTGATCAAGAGGTGGGCATATCAGACGACTCGGAGGACGACCATCCGCGTGCTCCTTTGAAACCGGGCTTGCATGTATCTCGCCGCCACGGTTTGCTTGGGGAGTCGACGCCACATGGAGGCGGCGATGGCGAATGGTTGTGACAGGGCTTTGAATCGAAGACTCCTCGTGGTCTGGTCGAAAGGATCGATTCGTTCATTCGTGGCATGCAGGTGGCCGAGGTTTCGCCTGGAGATTGAGCAGGTGGTCCGCAGGTTCGAGAGGTGCGTGGGTCAGATGAAACGACTCGCCGGGCCCAACCAGCGTCGGGGGAACTACAGACGGAGTTGAGCCAGGAACGAGAAGCGAGTGGGAACGTCGCCGGTGAGGAGGAGGTGTCCGAGCAGGGGCTGTTCGGTGAGAGATCGGCTGAAAAGACTCAGTCGGGAGGCAAGCGCAACTTGCCGGAGGAGGAAGAGCGAGAGGGACTAGGTGCTCTGAAAAGGCAGAGAAAGGTAGGAGGGAGTGCTCGGAAGCCAACAACACGAGAGGGTGGTTCCGTTGAGAAGAGGAAAAGTGTTGGAGGTGGGGATGAAATGCCAAAAGACTCGTCGACACAGCGAAGAACCGGTGACTCTTCCGGGAAAAGGGCGAAATCATCGAGGGGGAAGAAAGCAGACGAGGGCGACAGCGGGGAGGGGGATGATGACGTGGAGATTAACCTCAACGCCTTTAACCTCGACAATGAGTTCTTCCTCGAGATGCAGACAGGGGTGCAGAAGGACGTCGTGTTGCACATCCATCCCGAAATAATTTTAGCTATTCCAGACTGGGAAGACGCGTACAACCACCGATCCTTGGACAAGTTCCTCGTTGATACCATCGCGTCGGCTATGACCGACTGCTACGAACGTAAAGACATGAGATACACGAACCCCATTTTCGTTCTCGCTCCGATCGTCGCGCCTCCAGAGAACGGCGAGCCTGCTGTGCGCGTGCTGCCTGCTGACTTCGACAACTCACACCCAGAGAAATACTGGTATTATCCTGTGTGTGGACAGCATAATGCGAGGGCGGCGATGATGGTGAAAGACCATCCCGTGTTTGATTACTACAACTTCTGTAAATGGCCGTTCGGACCGATCTACTTCCCTGACGACGAGTTCAACGGCTACGCCCATGTCAGCTGTGAAGACACAATATAAAATACAAGAGGAATCCACCGCGCTTGCAGGTTTTGTCTATGCGGGACATTCGCAATATCTGGAAAATAAAGGGCAAACCGCGTGTGGTGCTCGACAATGCCTCGAAGAAACAGGACGAGGTGCGAAAGTGGGTGCGGTTCATGGCGTTGGCAATGAAGAAGACGCCATACACGCCTATCTGAAACCTGTCAATGGAAGCAAAGAAAAAAAAGGAATGGGCTGAGAAACTTCGATACTACCTCCCGCTGGCCATGGCAGATGACTCCGTCTTCGCTTTGGGGTTGAAGTTCTATGAGGAGTGGTCGAAAGGGAAACTCCTCGCTTCCGACAGTCGGCGTTGGATTGAAAAGCCGCCCACCCATGAGGAGGTGGCCAAGCCAGGCCTCTCCACTATGACTGACAGCCAGGGGCTGAAGAAACACGTCTGGTACGTGAAGGTGGACGACCCGTCGTTGAAAAAGGGGAAGGGGAAGCCAAAGAAAGGCGCGGAGGAGAAAACTTTCTACGTCCAAGTTCCGGAGCCGGATGTCTACTGCTGGAAGGAATTGGTGGACTTGACGGACCGCGAGAATAAAAGGTTGTTGAACAGCGTCTTGAACCTTAACGTCGTGTGGGTTCAAACGAGTAGCAAAAAGTTGGCCGAGCAGGGGACGTTCAGTGTCAAGGAGTTGGTCGACATAATAAAAATGGACTGGATTATGCTGAGGCTGAGACACTACTTGGAGTTCGAGTACGAGGAAATGAATAAGTGGGAGTGGAATGCCAACTCCACGTTCTTCAGGTCCAAGAAGCAACTGTTCGAAGAGTTCAAGGACAGAGGTCTCGACGACAAGCTTTGGAACGAGAGTAGGAAATTTTTCACGGACACCACATACGTCAACAAGTGCCCTCAGTTTCTCGGGTGTCATCACGACAACAACATCAAGAGAACGGCGGCCCTCGTCAACGACCAGCATTTCCCGGCGGAGTGGAAGCGTGTCGTCCTTTCGGTGATCACTGGAGATCGCGCCAAAGGCAAAAAAAACCCTCGGGGCGTTGATGAATGCATCAACATTATGTGGACAAGGACAAGCGCCTTGACGACTCTGGCCCAGTTTAACGTCGACCCATTGACTGCCATAGATCATAAGGCCGCGCAAGGAAAACTAGGGCATCAGCTACGCTCCCATGCTTGCGTGCTCGACTTGTGTGGAACTGTTGACCGTGCGCAATGAGACTCTGGGGCATTCGTGTCTCTGAGTGAGTTGTTGGGCTTTGTTTGTCAGGACTACTGGACATTGGTGGTATTCGTCCCCTGCTTGTGGAACCTATCCTTCATGATATGTTTGTCTGCGCTTGGGGCTACCCGATGCTACACGGGGAAGTGGGTTCGGAAGACGGCATCGAAGAAGACGCATCAGTTCGGAAACAGCGTCTCGGAGGAGCCGGATGTGATGCACATCCTTTTCAAAGGCGAGGATCCTCGGCTATTGACTCACCCGGTGTACGAGGGAGCTGTTGCTGAAGACGACGACGCCGCTCTCCGGAGGAAACAAAAAGTGACACCCACGGATGTGGAGGAGAACTATTTCAAGTCTTTGACTTTCGCGGACATCGGAAACGTGACCCAGAGGGGGGCTCTGTACAAGGACGGCGAGCGGAATCCGAATCAGTTGTGCAATCAGCTTCTTTTCTTCTGTGGTGTGGCGGATGTCGTGTTGTTCTTGGGCAAGCCGCACGAGTAGGTGGCATGGAGTCTGCTTCAGCAGAGAAGGCACATCTTGGCCGTGGATGGGGACACAACGCAGCTTGAATACACCGTGCAGTATGTCACCCATGAAGTGTCGTCCAAGGCTTACCCATGTGATTTCCACCACGTCGTGGTCGAGCCCGTTTATGACCCGAACAAGGACATGTTCTTCAAGTTGACTCCGAAGAAAAGGCGCCAGGTCTACCCCTTCCTTTACGGCGAACAACCAAGGTTGAGATTTGACCAGCAGTACGTGGTGCGGAAGGAAGTCGCCATTGCGGTCCTCCAGGGCTACCACAGAGCGAGTCGGGCCGGCGCTGTGAGCTTCATTAAGAGGCTGGAATATGTCTTTTTTAACGAGGATGTTGTTGATCCGGCCGACTTCACTTTGGATAAGTACAAGCTGGCATTCGGTGAGGAGGACGACTTCAATATCGAGACTGAGCAGGAGGAGAGCATTGAGGACAACCTCTTCGATTTGGACGGAGAATTGGTCATCTTCAACGCCCAAATTTCTGAGTCGCCATCAGTATGCAAACTGGGGACACCTCTCGCTACACCTACCTCGGACGGTCCCACGCCCGTGTCCTCCTCAGCGCCTGTCAAGAGGGGTGGGTTGTCCCGTATAAGGAGTTCGCCAGGGGAGCCTATTTGTCTCACGCCGCAGCCCGAACGTCTTCGACCCGGCCATCCAGTTCCTCCGGACCATCCGCATCTCAAGGCTCCTGCGACTCCCTTCCACATGGACGACAAACACACCTTCTCCACAGCCGAAGATTGGGGCCATGATATCGTGTGGCACCCGGACCATTTCAAGCCAGTCCTTCTCGACAACGACAACAGAAAAATTGTGGCAAATTTTCATCATGGTTTCAACTTCGACACAAGTTGGGACCAACATATGAAGAGGATGAAATGGTTGACCCAATCGTTTTGACGGGGCGTTTGCATGTTTTCAACCGTTTGTCAACATGCGGGTATATGTTTTCAAATGTTGATCAACATATGTTCAACATGATTCCAACACGTCCATGTTGGAATTTTTTTTTGTTTTAACCTTCCCCCGGATCCGGGAGTTGACAAGTGCGTGGAAATGTTGTTGCAAATGGCGGCTGTTCGTGCCGGGCTGGCCCGTAGTAGTCAAACGTTGATGTTTATCGGGAAGGCTTGATGTTGGGGATGCGCAGGGCGAAATTAAAAGAAATGGGGGGTTAACTTGAGAGACCCGAAAAGGAAAAAAAAAAAAAAA